TCCTCTAATTAGTAATCTAATTAGGGAGTTGCAGCGAAAACCCGCATACACACCGGCCCTTTGCGGATAAGATTGCCCACCCCTGCCTTATTGGGTCTAACCCCACGATGAGAGACATAGCCGGCCCACCACCCAAAACTGAACCTGCAGCACAAGTGGCTTGCAAAAATATTTTTTTTAAAAAACACCTTTTCCTCTCAGAAAATAAAACACACAAAAAAAACAAATGTGAAGCATCCCCACTGAACTATAGAGAAAATTGTGAAACCTGCCCATTGTACTATAAACACAGTCAACGATGTGAAACCTGCCCATTGTACTATAAACACACAGTCAACGATGTGAAACCTGCCCATTGTACTATAAACACACAGTCAACGATGTGAAACCTGCCCATTGTACTATAAACACACAGTCCGATGTGAAACCTGCCCACTGAACTTTAACAAAGCCAACAACTTCACACCTTCCCACTGAATTATAAAGACAAAACATGAAATCTCCCCGCTGAGCTATAAACATACGACATAAAGCCTACCACCATTTTCCCAGTATTTCGTATTGCGTATTGTTCTTTTTTCTGAGACTGCTTTCCTCATGTAACCCGGGCCATGATGACCAGACTGCCAGGTTCTCACTGCCTGGAATGGAATGCTGACAATGAGGACGGTTAAACAACTCAAAGGGAACGAGACCAGGATGAAACAGAGAAAGGTGCATGTGAGCTTAGGGGAGAACACAGGGTCAGGCAAACTGAGAACATAATCTGTTGGACAAATAACGGGTCAAAGCCTCAGGCGTTGGATCTGGTCACTGCTGTCTCCAAAGAACCAGGACTAATCAGCAAAACATCAGAGAAATAGTCCAACAATTAAAATTACACGACCAAGAATGTGAAAACTTCCCACTGAGCTACAGAGAGACGACGTTGCGATGTGTCAGACACTGACCCGGGGACCGCGAGTCGTCAAGGGACCAGGCTTGAGAGCCCTCAATAAGTATTACATACTCAAGGAAAATACTGTCAGTCACTTTAATTCCAAGCTATGCCCTAAGCACAAAACTCAGGAAGAAAACGAATGAAGTCCATCCTCATTGTTCATCAGCACAGGAAACTATGAACCTCACTGCAACACAACTTATTAAATGAATGTCACATTTACGGAGGCACAAGACAAACATTAGCACAAGACAGGGACTTTCCTCTGTGATGAAAAGTGACTGGAACAGACAGGCCGTCTTTAGCTGCTTGAACAACACAGGACACATGCTGGTCCGGATGAGAGTATGCTGCGTGCGATTTGGCTGCCGCTTCTCACCGGTGTCTCTGTGCTTTTGGTCCTGTTCGCCACGTACTCTGCTGTGTTTCATGCCGTTTATGTTTTATGGGCGGATTCTTACTGGATTCATGCTGAACTTTTACTCTGCTCACTGCCTGTTCCACAAGCCCTCTCCCACTTTTCTCTCCCTGTCCCGGCATAGCTGGGGAGAAGTTCTAACTGACTATGTTTATCGCACTGGATCTTATTTCTTGCACTGGTTTGCAGAATGTCTGTACATCTGATTCTGTCATTGGTATCTCAGATCACAAGCTGACTGAATTTAGTTTCAAATTTCATCAATTAAGTAAAAAATCTTTAACTTATTGTAATATTAAGAATATTATCTCCGCTTGGAGAGACTCTGGAAGACGACTGTTCTCACTGTTCATGCCTTGGCTTACACTGGACACCGGAAGGAATACAGATACGCCTTATCAGCTGCGCGTTCAAAGTACTCTCTCACCCTTATCAACTCTGCTACTTGTCACCCTAGACCTCATTTTTCTATAGTCTGACTTTGTCAACCCCGGTTAAAACTTATAATCCCTCTATGAGAGCTGTAATTCATCTCTGGACAATTCTCAGTGAAAAATTATGACCATATATCAAGGTTCTCTACTAACCATTCCTCACCTCCGATGACTGACTCTACTCCTAAATCTCCAGTTTATCTAAATTTAACCCCACTACACCAACTTATATTGCTGAGGTAATGTCTAAATCAAATCAATCTACTTGCCTAGATCCTGCCCCTACTCTGCTAATCAAGGCTTGCACTGGCAAACTTTCTGCTCCCTTTTCTCACTTCATCAGCTGTAGTTTCCACACTTGTGTTGTTCCAAATGAATTAAAAACTGCTGCCATTTAAAAAAAACCTGGCTTAGACCCGTTACATCTAAAGTTCTATCACTCAGTGTCAAATCTTCCATCTATGGCTAAGATCTTAGAAAACGTTGTTGCTGCTCAACTCAAAGCATAACCTGCTTGAACTTTTTCAAACTGGATTCAGAACCCAACACAGCACTGAAACTAAGTTACCCAAAGACTTATTTATGACTGCAGACTCAGGAATGGCCACTATTCAAGCTCTCCTTGACTTTAGTGCATTTGATACAGTGAACCATAATTTCTTACTTTCATGTATTGGTATCTCTGGTGTTGCTCTTGCTTGGTTCATATCATACCTCAATGATCATCAGTATTATGTATTTATGATCAGGGAATATAAATCTGCCACTGCTTCAGTCGTACAAGGTATCCCTCAAGGGTCTGTTCTAAGTCCAATTCTCTTTACCATCTACATGCTCCCATTAGGTGAAATTATCCGTCTATATGGTCTCAGCTTCCACTGCTGTTCCAGTGACACACAACTGTATGTAAGTGTTGGTCCAACTGCATCATCATCACCAGCCTCACCGACTGATCGTGTTCATGAAATCAAACACTGGATGACAGCTAACTTTTTACGACCGAACCCTGAAAAAACATAAATCCTATTGGTTGGTACTAAATCTTTCCTCTCTACCTTTTGTGGGCTAAAGAATGATGTCGACGGGATCCTGGTGGAATCCTCGGCATCAGTCCGTAATTTGGGTGTCATCTTCGGTCAGCTTCTTACCTTCCAGCCACACATCAGCTCACTGATACACACAGCATGTGTTTCATCTCCGTAACATTGCTCGTCTGCACTCTTACCACGATGTGAAAGATACTGAAACAAACACAATTCATACAGTACATTCATCACTACCCGTCTGGACTATTGTAATGCATTATTTTATGGTCTCCCTGTTAAATATATCAATGTGCCCACATCACTGTATGAAAAGCACTATATAAATAAAACTTAGTATTATTATTAGGTGTAAAACTTGTGCCTGGGGATCACTGGTTCAAGCAAGAAGGAAGGGATGTCAATGCCAGGTATCCATTAGTCTCCAGGTCTGTCACTCGAGTGCCAGTACAGGATAAACAGACCAGTAGATCAGCTAAAACCCAGAAACTTCCCAGCATTGGTAAGAAGCCTTGGGAAAAGCCACCATCCACAAACCGACGTGCTGGAATCAGCTCCAGAGCCAGAGAGGGTCAGTTAATCCGAGGTGGATGAGGGAAGTTTTGGCAAGCTTTCAACAGAGACAGTTGGTAAACCATCATAAAACCAGTGTCGTCATTTGTTTAAGGACATCTCTCGTCCACGCAGTGAGGGCTGGGGGGGCATGCTGGGAAGCCGCCTCCCATGAAGTGCTGTAATGAAATTCCCACCCGTTCACCCAGCCCTGGCACTGGCTTCTGCGTCCACAAACACGGCCCCCAGCAACGGACAGGAGAGCTACAGGGGGGGCCCGCAGTTTACACAGGGGGGGCCCCATGCATGCCGTTGCCACAGAGCTGGGGCAGACAGTGAGCAGTGTGCTGGGAACAGGTGAAGTCAGCTGTTCTTTCCCCCCCACCCGTGCCCAGCATGAACACCCCCCCGCGGGGAAGTGAACAGGGAACCAGAGCAGATGTCTGATGGGTTGGGTGCCACCATAAATCATTTTTCACATCCAGTGGGGTGGTTAAATGTTTGGACCTGAGAGGCAGAATACTTACTGTATCCTCGTGAACTTGGGGTGGGGGGTGGGGGGGTGTTAATTTGAGCCAAGAAACACTGGCACAGTTTGGGTCCGATTATTCAGACTTAAGTGCTAAATGTTAAACCAGCAGCTGTGCAAACAGTCCGCAAAGCCCAGACACCCCACCGAAAGCCATATACACACCCTAGAGGAGGACCCACCCCCCCCAAACACACAAACACATGGACGCTAGACGGGGGGGCGGCAGTCAATCCTCAGATTCCCTGGTGTCTTACAGACTATCAGGGTCAAAGGCAACCGGGTGGATGGGGGCTGACCCCATGATATCAGGTTCTACAGGTGTCAAGGTGGGGGGTTTAATGTCAACACACACCTGGCCAAAGGCGCACAGATGCAAACAAGACTTCCAGCATCAAGCTGACGTTGACTCCTGGCAACCACGCAGACGACGTTTCTCAGGAATGTCCCGTCCGGGCGTTCGGCTTCCCAGTTGCTTATACAGTTCTATTAGCAATTAGCCCCCCCGACCGCAGACTCGAGAGCGAATTGCAGGCTCCATTAATCTTTATACCACCTCTAACAGGTGAGTAATGAGCTGGGAGCTGGTTGCCAGAGAGACGAGATGAAGAACAAGTGTCTAAAATCAGGTCAGGAACCAGGCACAGAACCGAATCCACAGGTAGTACGTCTGGGACCCATTTCCCAGTGGGAGCCTTTCACTGGCTCCAGTGTGATATGGGCTCATAATAACAGATCCACACTGGCTCTGCCCTCCAACTGTCTCTCCAAGGGGAGAACAGCAGAAGGCAGGCCACCCATGTTCTCCTCCTGTAGGTATCGCTATTCACCCTAAACCGATTAGTTAACGCCATCAAACCTGCCCCAATCATTAACATAAATATACCATAGATGTGGTCAAGAACAAGCCGGTGTCATGGAAACACAAACAAACACAGACAGATCAGGGGCATGTACAACTACACGTTTCTAACCCCCCCCCCCCAAGGCCGAGCTCCTCTAAAGAGAAGGGGCACCATAAAGTCACAGGCTCTCCAGATAGGTTGTTCCATGTTACCATGACTAGAGTAGCCGAACAACTCACCAGCACCGGCAGGAGGAGGTCAGCCAGGTAGACGAAGGCGGCACCGAGGGTGAATCCCACCGCGACGGGGACGAAGGCGAAGGCGCCGTACTTCCCCGAGTCCTCGGCCATGTCGATGGCGGGGGCCAGCAGTGACCAGTAGGAGGCGGCCAACATCACCTGTGGAGCACAGAGACGAGCAGAGTCAGCATGGAGGCGATGGCACAGCTACGCAGCACAGTCTCACACGGCGGGAAGAGCAGTGGAATGAGTGCGTCCCTCAGTGGTGGAAAAACGAGACTACACACAACTTCAGGAAGGTTCCGGAAGCCTTTGAAGGCACAGCAGGGTCCAGGTTCCTTAAGCTCTCCATACCTTCAAGAAACATTAGCAGGTCCCCCACATTCCTCCTCCCACAAACAGGCTCTTCTTTATTTTTATTTTTACTCGGTCGATGCTTTTAACCAAAATAACACTTTATTTTAAAGAGAAAGTCAGACAGTCACTGGAGCAATTGAGGATTAAGGGTCTTACTTAGGAACCCAGCGGTAAAATCACTCTGCCGAATGTGGGATTTGAACTCGCAACCTTCTGATCACAGACACAGCATCCAAAGTTGCTGAGCCACACACAAGAACCCTCATCACCTTCTGAGGTCAATTATAGTCGCCGGTCCCGCCGTCCGTAATGCGTCATTCACAAACATTCACCGAGTCCCAGCTTTCTCACTCCAGGGCTAAGAGGCGACCCACAATTCATTGCAGCCTCACAGAATAGCACGAGCAGCTTAATTACGGCTTGCAATGACGGCTGGCAACTAGTGTGCAATTCATGTTCTCAGCAGGTCTGTTATAAGGGCCTGTGTTTCTTTACCAAATGACAAGTAGAACAAACCTTTTTAATTTTCAAATAGCTATGTGTAAGTAATGAGGGGCAGCATCCTACCGTTAATGATAGCGATATCAAAGCAGGCAGGATAAAGTCTGCTCTCAGCTCACCATGACCGAGATCCATTAAAACCCTTAGTACCTTATTACTAATTCTTTACTTACTTAGTTTTCCCTCCAAATTTTCTTATAGCTACAACTTCCCCCACTGAGACACCTTTAAAATTCGTCCAGCGTTTTGAGGTGCCAGGCTACCCAGAAGGTCGTGTCACATGACCGCTGTATTGTTATTCCACCCAGATTACGGAAGCATAGATCCTCCCCCCGGAACAGACCGGCAGCACAAGGCTCCAAGAGTAGAGGGTCAAAAGCCCCCCCCCGTTTCGAGTTTTCTGTGGAGTGCTTCATAGAGGGATGCTAACCAGTCAGTGAGATAACTCACATTAACGTGGAAACTACAAGCAGGGTTGTAGGACAACCGGCGATCAGGTTGATCCCCAGCTGGACGATCTCGACTTCCTGAAGCAGGGATGGGGACCCTGAGCCATGGAGGACCGGTGTGGGGGCAGGTTTTCGGGAGGGCATGTTTTATTTAAACTTTTGGCTAGATTTTTTTTATTCATATTATATATTTTATTGTACATGTACTGTAAGTTTTGACTGTTTCAGACTTATATAGCGCTTTGGGACTTTTGTCAGTGAAAAGCATTTTGTACATAAAGTTTTACTTACTTCACTTCCTGAAGATGACTTCCCAGGTACAGGAAGACTTATGAACACCGGTGTATCAGCAAGTGAAAATTCAAATCTCATGCCATTACGAGTTGCAATACTAAAAGCACAGACTGCAAGAAGGTAAGTTACACATTACACCACAAGTTTAATGACAAGGGGGCTGGAATAAGATCGATAATTAATAAAGTATCTGTGTACTATTGGGGGACACAGACTAACATGGGAGGAAGATGGATCGGCTGTAATTCACCGGGAAACAAATGTCACTGACTCTTGTCGAGTGAGCAATTATCTAGAGTGAGTGGCACATCTTGCAGATGTACTTTACAGGTTCCAGCCACTGGGTCAGCTGGAACCTGTAATTCTAGTGAAAAATCATCACAATAACTTTCATTGGTTTAATTATGTCTATAGAACTTTGGCCCTCAATACCATTGGCTTCTTCATAGTTGAGGAACTCTAGGAACTCAACGCCATTGGCTGATTCATGTTAGGTGGGCTTAACGAAATATAACAGGAGCAGGGGTAGGGGAGGGCTGGGCTCTCCTCTCTCTGCCTGCTCTCTTATTTTTGGGAGCTCCGTAGCCCCCCCCCCCCCAGCACCCGAATGCCATGGAGTCCCGAGCAAACTGCAAATGCACACACAAATTAGATTATAATAAAGCATGAATGCATATTTAAACGGTGCAATCTCCATACTAATCACCTTGTCCACAGAATAATGGATCAAAGCAACTCAATAACAACCATGAGGAGAACAACAATATGCAGAGTGGCGCACGGCAACAGGAAACAGACACGGGTGAGCGTGTAAAGAAGACCGCTCAGCTCTCGCTCCCCAGAATGTGCCGACGACCACCACCGCTAAAAAGGGATCCTGCTTCAAATCAAGACCAAAAAGCTTTCTACTTATTTACTGAAGTACTGGAGCAGACTTTCTGAAATCCAAACTGGCTAATTATCATCTACCAAAGATATTAATTGGAACTCCGTGTCTACAGCGCGCCCGGCAGAATTAAGAGCTCAGTGGGGGGACCCTTGGATTCCATCCCTGAAGGGTTAAAATTTAATGAGAAACATGACTTACAAATGCACTGAAGAAGCGGTACAGCCAGATATAAGACCTATTCTTCCTTAGATACGTGGCCTGGTGTGCAGCCAGAGAGATGGTCAATTAACACAACTATGCAGAGATCAGGTGGTTGGAAACCTTTAACCCGATAACCAGGTTTCCAAGGCGAATTGTGTGAGAGCCAAGCTGGGTCACCCCTTTCCACAGATCTACCGGGGGCTGCTTGACTATCAGCCATCATCCAGGTCTCATGTGGGCAAAATACAAAATTAGTTCATTTTAAATTCTTTTTTTCATAGTGAACTGGGGAAAATTTAAAAAACAAAAAAGAAAAACGCCGTTTCAAAGACTGACAAGCAGCACCAGTGTGTATTTATAAAACAGATAATGAAAAATTGGCTTTTGTAAGCCTTTCTGCCATTAAAACTTATAAAATAAACATTTTAACGACACCAGGCTCAGCAAAAATTAACAGCTGCAGAAATAAACACACACGGCAGTCTCTCTGAGGATCTTGCGACAGTTTGAAGGGGGATGCCTCGAATATCGGACTAACGGGTTTGACGTGTTGAGCAAACTGACCGGTCATGATTTCCCAACCCTAACCGAACTGCCACCCTTTACAAACATGTGTTGTAAAGGACAGACCAGACAACCCTTATCAGCTCACGATGGAGGACGCTTCCCTTACCAAACACGGAGAGCTGAATCAAAGACGAAAAGGCAGACGCTTCCCTTACCAAACACGGAGAGCGGAATCAAAGACGAAAAGGCAGACGCTTCCCTTACCAAACACGGAGAGCGGAATCAAAG